TGCCATCCATTCAGTTCATACCTTGAGTTTATGCTAATGAAACTTGCAGGGGGTTTCTGCACAGCAGCTGTGGCTGTGCTCAGACATCCCCCAAGGAAGCTCCCAGCATGGATGGGCTGTTTGGAGTTTCTTTGGCCCCCAGCTGTGCCACAAGTTTGCTCCTTTCAGGCACGGCTGGGCAATGCCAAGGTCAGTACAGGATGACAGGATGTCAGTACATTGCAGTCAAGCAAATGAAGTCAAAACTGTCCCAAAGAATGGATTCTTTATCTTGTTTGGTTATCTTTAGAAAATAAATGGACAGCAGCACACTTCATACTGTAAACAGTGACTTTGACTGGCCTTACTCCAGTAGCACCTGAACAAATATTTCTAACACGGACAGCTGCTCCTCCCTCCTTCTCAGCTGGACAGAGCACATATTTGTGTAACTCCCTGTCAGGTCTGATGTGGTCAGCCAGGGGAAGGGAGTTCCCAGAAATAAAGGAATTCAGACATTGCATTTACTCTTTCAACAGAACCAAATTATGCCTTTATAGCAACGGCCTCAGAAAATATTCTGTCCAAATTCTCCTAGTTAAGGTCTATAGTTCTTACTTCAATCAGCAGGCTACTGAGAGCTAAAGGAGCTCAAAGATGAAGACTTGATAGGATGTGTACACACACAATGCAGGCAGGCTCTGCACAGGAATATTACATTTTGGAAAACAGTTTTGGCAACTCTGCTTAATGAAAACAGGAGTATTTGTATTGTTGTACCGTTGAAAGAAAAATCTAAAATTCCTTGTCATATTAAATAATTCAGAAGACCTTGTTTAGTTAAAGAAGATTCTCTCTGAAATTACACAAACAATAATCGAGAGGCATCAAGTCCTTTAGTTCAAGATAAAACATCTGAAATGGTTTGAACTGTATTGAAAATGTTAAGGTGAGTAATGTGTGTTTTCTTCACTTTCGGTGTCCTACCGAAAAAGAATCCTTAGATAAAAAGGTGCTGAAGCTGCTTTACTTGTACTTTTTAAGCATAAATATTCTCTCACTAACCATTTTGTTCTTTCAACAGCATGTTTCAGTTCCATCTTCATCAGTGCCCCTTTGAAGATCTGCTGTATCAATGCTCTGTGAAATCTGTAGCAATTCTGAATTTTGACAGTACTCAGGAAAAAACCCTTTAATTCTTACAAAAGATGCCTGAACATTTTATTAATCCTGCAGAACCACTTTTAATAGCGAATTCAGAGGTTGCTTATAAACTGAAATCAAACATTAAGACATTAAATGAAAAGGTGTATTTATTGATGGTCAAGCCAACTGTTGGACAGATCTCAGGAGGGCAACTAAGGGGTAGTTGGCTGGTGTGAAGTCAGTGCAAACCAGTCCACTCTCTCAGCAATGGTTCTAGGGGAAATACTGAAGTGAAAGAACCTCAGAAATACATTACATGCAATTGGAGAAAAACAGCAAAGGAAAAAATTATATCAGCACTTGAAAATTCAGGATTAGAAACTCCACAATTTGCAGTTTCAAGTATGCTGTAATATGACTTCACCGACTTGCTTCTCAAGCAAGATTAGACATTATTCCCATCCCTTTTTACATACTCAGGTATCATCAGCACATCAGCTCTGTCTCTAAATGACCCAAAATCTTTCACTCTTCTCACTCCACAGAATTACAGAATGGGTAAGGTTGGAGGTCATCTAATCCCACCTCCCTGGTTAAGCAGGGTTCCCTAGAGCAGGTTTCATATTTCCTAGAGCTCTGATTACAACTGTTGTACTGTTCTGGTTTCTCTCCAGTTAGGACTGCCATTGAAAACAAATACAAGGAAAAATGGGACACAGGATTCAAGGTTTTTTTTCAATTCCAAAGAGACCTCCAGGCTGTGTGATTCAATTCATGAATCATACATGGTATAGTCCTGTTCCCATTTATTTATATGTTACTTACATTAAACTTTTGTTGTACTTTATGCTTACAACTATTTTCTACTAAAACGGATAAGCATTCCTGACTCACTATTTGAGGATTGAGTTGGTTGTGCCTAAATGTAGTGCTTTGCACTTGTCTGCACTGGATTTTATCTTATTTTTTTCTGGGCCATTTCATCAGTTAGTTATGATGCTGTTGGCAATACATACAGCCGTATCCCACATCACATTACAAATATGACATGTTTTTACTCTTTTTTCTTTCTAAGGACATGGGACTTGCACAATCACACCGTTCTCTGTCACCTCCACCACTTCCTGACAAACTGCTTTTGAACCACTTGCTTAATTCCATCTAAATACGATGGAAGAGAAAGGTCTCAAAGTTTGACCTCAGCAGGTGGGTAAAGGAGAAGCCTGAAACTGTTTTCCTTCCCCAGGGGAAGTGCCTTTGGCATGAGCACACCACCCGGGTGCTGTTTGTCCTGTCAAGTGGCCCATCTGTCCCCGAGCCCAGAGCACACGTGTGGCTCCAGAGGACCAGGCAGAGCATGTGCTCTTTGCTCTGCTAATGCAACAGGTGAGGGGGGAGCACTGCAGGACCACCTCCTGGAAGGGGCAGGATTACACAAGACAGGGGTGGGAGCTGCAGTTATCGCAGCTGGTGATGTGTACAGACCAAGGACACGCAGATAGAGACCAGCACGCTTTGTTAGTCCCGCTGCTCAAGGAGGAGCTTATTTTCAGCCTCTGGCACGGGGTCACTGGGATGCAGATTTCCTGTGTACTGTCTTTGCCCTGATTGAAGCAGACAATGGCTTACCATGCACAAAGCGGGGGTACTTTCTGAGTCAAACTTACAGCTTTAACACATTCTTAGGTATCTACTGAACTTCTAATAGCAGCACCTACTGTACAATCCCTTACCCGCCAAAGGAGGAGACTCAGATTTTCTAAACATAAGTAACTTCCCATGCATATACAAAGGATTAAGAACTCTTCACTCTGCATGTGTGAAAACAGATTGCTCCATCACTCTATACCTAGACTAAGAGTGGAAAGCACATAGCTGCATGCTTCTCTTGTGACCAAAAACAATAAAGTTTAACTAGAAAGACATATTGACCCATACAAGGACAAGCTGAAGTATTTGAAAAAGCATTATTGAACAGTGTGCACTTTGTCCATGCTCTTTGCAAGCCTTTAAGCAAACATCCTTGTTCGGGTTTTTTTCTGCCCTTCAGTGTTGCAAAATATAGTGCCTGTTTTTAAAGCAGAAGCTAAAGGCATAGTCTTATTCCAGGAATAAAATAATTCCTATTACACCATGCAGTTAAGAGCACCCACAAGCAGGAAAAAGAATGTGTGAGTACAGAGGGCAAGACAAAAAGGACTGTTACTCTAATACTACTGGCTTCTCTAGTACTAACTACTTGAGAAAGACATGAATGCAGAGTACAGCACAATACATTCCTGGAGAACCTGAAAATAGCTCAGTCTTGAGGTGGATGGAAAGGCATTGCCCCTTCCACAGTGCTAGATTTAAAAGAGCTACAAAGTTGCTCTCTCTTCTCTAACAGAAAATCTTTACTCTAAACAACTTCATGTTTGTTGACCTGGGACATACACACCATACACTGCATAGAAGCAAATACAGCAGTGACTGTAGTATTTTAAAACTACTGGATATGAACCTACTTACTCCTTTTCTGAGACAGTTTTCTCAATAAAGAAACAGACAATAGTTTCAATTGAAGGGACTGAGTTCACTCTTCGTTTTCTTTGAACAAGATTGAATTTTCAAGCCCCATTATCAGTGCTCAGTTTATGAAAATGCTTTTGAAAACAAAAATCAATTAAATATTCAATAGCAAAATAACAAAGTACCCTGCCTTCCACAGGCAGGGTTGATATCTCAACTATCTAGCAAGCAAAGCAGTGCAACAAGCAAACAGTGGTAGGTATCTCCAATCATTCTACCTTTGACTGCTGAGCCACTGAATTCCACAGGGGCTTAAAAAACTCCAAATTTTTCAAAATGTGAACAACTGAGTGAAAGAAAACACTGAAACCATCAACAGGTAAATTGTGAAGGGTTAAAAAAAGGGGGGGTTTATCCACTTAGCATACTACACAGTAGTCACAATTCTTTTTCTTTGTACTTTTGTACCTGCAGAAACTATAGTTACCTACATGTAACTTTATTTTCAAGTCAATATTCTAACACTTGTCTTAGTTTGTAAGTGGCAGTGACAGGGGCAAACATTGCTAAAAAGGAAATTTGGTAATCTGACTTTAACACTGACATTTAGGTAACTCTTACAGATACATCACTTACCCTAATGGAGTGAACTCTGTAGTTTTAACACACCACACTCTAATTTCCACATGGGAACAAACAATTACTACTACTAATTCTAATTCCCATAGGAAAAAAGGGTAGTAGCACAACCAGGGACAAACCATAAAGGATTTTTCTAGGCAAACCTTTAGTTCAAGGATGAATCAGTTTCAAGAAATCCTAGTGTATTAACACAGTATCCTTCTAAAGATTAATTCATCATGCAAACATATCCTAACTACACATAATCAGAAGCAGTCCTGTATGAAATATTCTGGTTTTAATTTTGAAAAGCACTTGAGTGTTAAAGTACTACATTTAGTTGTGACCATTCCTATGCCTAGGGTTCTCCCCTACAGGTTGTTGCTACAGAAGGCCATAACCTCAAATTCAGTATGGGAAAGAGATGAGTGGGGAGATAAAATCATTTGCTTTCTGTTGCTCTGCAGGCCAAGACACAAAACTGCTCTATCTCCCATGCAGGACCAGAGCTGAGGCTGCAACACCACAACTTCACCTTCAAACACTGTGTCTTACTGTGGTAAAAATAAAGAGTTACAGGGTCATTGGAAGGTTTTGACTACATTTGACATTTGCTGCTTCCTCGGTGCTATTTGTTTGTGCTTCATGGCTGTTCCATCCCACGATACTGAAAAGCTTCACCCACAGGACCGATGCTAAAGAGAGCACACCAAACACCCCTCCCAAACTCAATAATACAGGACAAATAAGGTTTTATGCAAATTTATTCATTAGCTTTAACAATACATAAATCAATACTATGTCCAGCATAAGGTTGTATAATAAAATACTCTGGTAAGATTAATTTCTAATGTGAACATTTTTAAAGGGCAGTTTTCATCCAATTTGGACACATTTTTTTAAAAAAATAAATAAATACAAGGCCAAAAATGCTTACTTTATGAAAGTCTGCTAAGTAAGACTTCAGGCTCCACATTGCTTCAAAGCACTAACAAGTACAGGTGTCTGTGTACATCTTAGACTTGCACACAAATGGGCTGTGCTCAAGCAGCAAACATTTTTTGACATCCAACTCAGACCAATCCATACCAGGTTTCCAATGCAGACCTCCTTACTCCTCTTAAAGCTAGTATCCACTTTTTAACTGTAGGATTGTCTTGCCTTCTAGCTGTGATCTGCATATAGGAATCCTAACATGTGCACAAAATACAAAAGGTCCACTCCCCTCTCAATATCACTGTAATGTTTTTGGCTTGAGACCCTGACTGCACTCTCTGGTGGAACTATTTATGAAACAAATTGCTACTCAATTCAAGTATGACTAAATTGCCCTTTGGAAAAAAAAAAAACACAAAACAAAACATTTTGGGAACAGGCAAGTACATTACATGCTCCCAACTCTCTTTTTTACCCTTTTGGAGCTCTCTAAACTTCAGGAATACATCCTCTCTGGGATGTTTGATGCTTAGTGCTACAGCATTAAGTTTTAGGCACGCTGGGTTCTGTAGGCTGCAGACAGTCCAGAAAAAGCTGCATTTTCAGCTTTGTTTCCAATCATATACAGTGGCATTCAGATGTTCATCAAAGTGCAGCATAGAGACATTCACTGACATCTGGACTACTTTCATTTATATTTTCAATGTTAAAATCTGGTCCCAATTTCAATTAGATACACATGAGAAAACATATTTGGCAAATCAGAGGTGTTTTATTTACTAGTGTACTTATCACATACCCTATAGGCTATCCTTTGGGCATATTTGTTCTACAAATCTAGATAAGCTTGTTTTGTCTTCTGACAAATTCCGCTGATGGCAAAATTCCCTTTTCCTTAAGTTACACTCAGGATTGAGTCACAAATTTTAAACCTACTCTAAAATTACACATTTTACTTTATTACATAAAAAAAACCTGCCAATGCTTGGTCAAAGTATAAACACTTATAAACCTAGTGAAAATATCCCTGAGAAACTTTCAGCAACATAGAGTAATTACTGGGTTTGGTCCACTAGAGAAAAATTGTTACATCCAGGTATTGAAAACTGTGGGCTACAAGTCCATTGGTTGTACACTGGATTCCCATTAATTCACTTTTGCTCCCCTTACAAAACACTGTATCTGAGACAAAGATCACAAGAGGTTCTTTACATTCTATTTAGTTTGATAGAGAATGTAAATTGTTAAAAACATTGTGATGAATGGCCCAGATTCAGCCCTGGTGTAACGCCTTTAATTTCAATGGAGTTCACACACATTCCAGGGTTGAAGTCTGGCAACACCTATGACTGTGAAAGACAGTACCTAAAGTAGAAAAAAATAACCTTAAAAGTTAGAGGGTACTTTTCATAAGTTGCTGACATTTTTTTGGATACTACTTATTTTGCAAACAAACATTTCACCAATATTTAAGTTTAGAAGTCAGACTGCCATGCCATAGGAAAACTCAGAGCACCACCTGGTTCAACTCTACTGAGAAAGCGAAGTGCGTAGTTTCCACAGGAGAGCACACAGGGCTAATGACTATGGAAATACTGTGTTAGCACACATGCAGGGTAAAGAAACAAAAGCAGAAATGCAAGAACTTCTTGAGCAGAGGGATGTATCATTTTCATTGCTCTTAAGTTGCTTTAGAGGGCAAACAGTCCACCATCTCATTGGTTTAGCGATATTTTCGAACAAAGTCAAAACTCATATACACACTAGATAAACGCAAGTAATCCACCTTCTTTTGCCTAAAATATTAAGTATTTTCAAATACAATTGCTTTCAGAAACTCTATTAAAGCCTGATATATTGGAAAATTTATTAAAGCTGCTTGTACTCTGAGGCAAAAAAACTAAGTTAGCACTAGAATTTCTTACTATACCAGTACTCCTGACCTTAGCACTTTCTGCTACAAACCTGAGCAAACCTGCAATTTGCAATTCAAAAGCCATGCTCTGTAATGTTACATCAATAGCTTCTGCTAAACGAGGCCGTTTTACTCTATGAAGTGCAGCAAAAGTGTAATACAATATCTTGTACCTAACACTTGTCTAATTTGTAAGGAAACATGCAAAAAAACCTGTAAAGGTGTTTCCATAAAGTTAAACCAAAACAGATAAAATACTATAACGGTTTTGGGAAAACATCAAAAACTTAAGAATCCATTTCAGGAATCCATGAAAGATCACAGAATATTCTGAGTTGGAAGGGACCCACAAGGACCACCACAGTCCAGCATTTATAAAGGATGTTTATACAATTTCAAGAAGGCAGGTGAGCAGAACTGTTTATGGTATGGGAATATTGGGAAAAAAACTCCAACCCCCCCCCCCCCAAATACTGTATAACAAGTTATTATGAAGCAACTAAATAAAAAAAAAACCAAAAAAACAACAAACAAACAAAAAAAAACCAAAACCAAAAAAAAAAATCCCTCATTTTACTCAGAGAACACATGAACTGTTCAGAATTCATGAGCAAACTGAGTAGTTATAACCTCCAAACAGTATCACTGTGGGAGTCAGCAACAGAACTTCAACATTATTTTTGAGATCTAACACTAGACACATTACTGCTGGGGATCCTTTGATACAACAGCTGTCAAGATTCAGCTGGGCTGTCCTCTGCCAAAAGTGAAGCCTTTTTTACAAAGTCACTGTAATACAAATTTTCTCTCTTGGGACAGCTTCCCCAGACAGCCAAGTTATGCATTCAACTCTACAGAAACACCTCAGACAGGGTCATAAAAAGGGAGTATACATGCTTAACCATGATATCTGTGCAGCAAAGTTAGTAAGTGAAGTGGATCCTTTCAGACAGTAGATGTATTACCAGGTGGTGAACTGTCAGGGGTCGTTTTGGGATCAGGAGTGCGACAAACAAACAGTTGTTTTCCCAAGGTTTTTTGGGCAAATCTGAAGTACATTATGTGGCCCATTGCAACAAAAGACACAGAAATAAGCACCAATAAACCAAAAGCTTCAGGGTTTGGGGCCAAGATGACCATGATGAAGTGCAGCAAATCAAGAAGATAATTCATGGAGTTTTGGACACCGTTTATGATGCCTCTTTCAGATTCAACCACATTTTCTTGGAGTAACTGTGTGACACTCAAATCAAAGGACCAAAGGCCTATGGAGAGAAAAAAGAATTATCCATGCAACTGGGATTCTCATGGTAAGCTTTCATCACTAGCACAATACAATTCATCCTTCCAAACACTTACTTCTGCCAAAAATGCACAGGACAAGACATCCATCCGCTTGTATGACTAGAATTGATTTCACACTCACAGTCCAGAGCAATTTACTTTCCTTTTACTACTATTTCCTGAAACAATACATACAGCTTGACACATTAACTTCCTGTCATATCTTGCTTCAACATGTCTGTGAACGTTTTGCTCATCTTTTCCTTGTTTAAATAGCTGGTTTACAGCTATTCACTGTGTATTCATCCCAGCTACAAACACTGAGTTTTGTAAAAGATGTTTGCAAAAAAATTAAACCTGTTTAAACTATGCAGAATACATAATTCAAAATGGTTTCAGTTGACACTAACTTCCATACTGTTTTAGTCCATTAATGATTCAGCTTTAAAAGTTTATCTTGCAAACAAACCTAAGACGTGTGAATCAAGTATTTTATTCCTCCTCAATTCAGCAAAACCTGCAGAAATTAAGTACAAAGATTCTACAGATGACAGTTCCTGTTCATTACATTTAGGCATTTGACTGCCTTTGCTGTTAGCAAATACTATTACTACACTAACCAGTGATTCCTCAAAAAACTAAGCTGTCTCAACCAAAGTTTCTATTCTAAACTCCAAGATTAGACAATTTAATAAATGGATTAATTTACTAAACTGCAAAGTTTGAAGGTTTTGACAGCAGATGCATTTAGTTCTGTTTCCCAGTTGGTTGTGACGGTTGCTCCTTGTTGTTCCTTGGTTCCTTCCTAGTTGTTCCTTGGTTGTGACAGAATATCATTGAGATAAGCATTCCAAAAAACCAATTACATTTATCTACAAATGTAACTTTTTCCCATTAGTGACAAAATCTACAAGAAATTAGTACTTGATTCTTTGCCCTGGTGATTATTTCATTTTTATGTGAAGTATAATCAATTAGCCTTAGAAATGTGATATCACTTCAACTATAGCCTAAATTCTAAATTAAAATTTGTATTTAGTTGACAAACACAGCAATCTTAAAAATGAAAATCAGTTAATAAGCAAAATTTTAATAGATATGTAATACTCACCAACTCTAGCAGCAATGACTCCTGCAAACAGGAGACTAACAGAGATTAAAGGCACGGGCTCAGGACTCATCTCCGGGTCGCCGTTAGCAGGAGTAGTAGACCCGTTTAACAAGATGGGCATTCCAGTTGCCAAAATCATTTCAGGTTCTGGAGATGCTATAGTAGGTAATGGCTCATTTTCAAATAGCCTGGCACTGATGTCGGAAAATGGGGAAACAGTCAAATCCATAGGGCTTCCAGGCATAAATACAGAGATGACACATAAGATCAGACAAGCAAACTGAGCAACTCCAGAAATGAGGCCTGTGCGAATGAGGCCGCACTTGCGACGAAGCCAAGTGAAAGCCACTGTTCCCATGATTCCAGTGACTGCCGAGGCACCCATGAGGAGGCTTAGCACAGAGCCACTCAGACCCTGAGTGTATGCATAGCCTGTAGTGATACAATCAAAGCCCAGAACAGTCATGTACAGAAATGCAAGGCCCATGCCCGCAAGGAACACTGGCTGGTTGTAGTACGCGACCCATCCGTCACGGAACGTTATGAAGGGCTCAGCAATGCGGGCGGCACAGCTGACTTCCTTCTCCTGTTGGGGCTCAAAGCCAGTTACATCTTTCTCAACAATTAACTGCACACCTTCAGCAGGTTTTGTGTCATTCTCTGTAAACAGAAAGGCAGCTGTCAGGTACACTCCTGCCTGGAAAGTACAGTGTAAATCAACAGACAACTGTATGTTCACTTCTGGTAGAAGCGCATCAATTAAACACCACAACCAAGCTCTCCTAATTACCTATATAATTTCAAAAGTGTCCTTTAAATCCCACCTGTAGAGCAAGATCAAGTAAAATTTATCCCTATCAATTTAAACTCCTGCTTATTTAATTGAACTGTGATAGGAGAAAGCACTGCCTGCTTCTAGACTTGAGACTGAATGCTCCATTTTCATAAAGAAATCATTTCCTTAAATGCCAGTGTTAGTTGTCATTTTAACATCGCTTTGTATGGTTAAATGCACTACCTGCAGAGAGAAAGGAATACTTAAACACCTGTCAATATCTCATGTCAGGGTAGAAGAACTAAGGCTGAAGCCTATCCAGAGGCAAAAGTTATCAGAGCTTGACTTAAACCCTCAAAACAGGCTTTTCTACAATTTCATTTTCACTGTAATATAGGAAAAAGGCACTTTGACCGATTACAAACAAAATAAAAAAATCCAAAAACCCACAGCAGTATTTACATTAGTAATATGGATAGAAATTCTACAAATGTCTGGATGCCTGAGCAGTGTTTTTAAAAATATTTCTTAAATAAAACTGAAAATTGCAACCTATTGGTTTTTTTGGAGCCCACAAGATGAGCTTTCAGGAGTATGCACAGATTGCTACCTTAAAAATGAGAAAATACATTTGGTATTCCAGTATCTAACACTTCAAATAATTCATAGTAAAGAGTCTGCTTCTGAAACAATTTTTATTTCTGATATTCATTCTACCTGAAGAAATGTTAATACCAATTTTAAAGTTGCTCATAGAAATAGCCAAAGTCATAGCCACCTGCACTGCAAGTCCCAGTTGTTCTGCTTGGCCAAGAAAAGAAAACTGAAGGTCAAAGTAGATTTTTTTTTCCTCCACCATTTTGTGCAGTATGGAAAAATCGTTGAAGCCTGCCAGACTAGAAATATGACCACCTATTCTACAACCTCCTGAAAGCCTGTTAGTACCATGTGTAAGTAGAAATGAGTTAGCAAGAAACAATCTTACAGAGGCTGTTTTTCCCTTAGACACTACACAGCCAAGGACTTTGTCCAGATCATTAGCAATGGTATAGATGGATAGGAGCATTCCTTACAATCAGCCCTAAGTTAGAGGGTAGACCTACTCCTAAGGGTTAATTAAGAGGAGAGAATTTGTTCTTTGGCTGTATTTTATGGAGTTCCTCAAACAGCCACACTAAGTATTGTTACTTAGATTAGAGGCTCTGGTATCTATGTCCGAAACTTGAAACCTCCAACCTCTGAGTAGAAAGCTCTAAAGCCTCAACAAAACAGTGTCTGTAGAGAAGTTCATTTGACTGATGCAATTAATATACCATGAATTCTAACGGTTACTTTTGTGTTTTCAGTACCTTTCGTTACGTTCAGCTGCTTCAGTTCTGATTCTTCAACTTTGGCAGATTTGAGAGCCAGAGTAGGGGTTTTCTGATAAACCTTCCAAAGCAGCAGATATTCCACACACATGGACATCAGGTTCCAGCCAGAAATGAATCCACAGCCAATCATCGGGGAGCCAAAAGTCATTATCTGACCAACCGCCATGGGGGCCAAGATATTGGTCAACTGATCAATTCTTCTTATTGTGGCATTCATATCTGTCAGAAATTATGTGATGATAAAAAATAACTGCAGAACACACTTGAATATTCACTAACGTAACAGTGGATTGCATATGTACAAATATCGAGTTAAGTAGTCTTGCTCTGACTGTAAGTGGTTCCAACAGGAGTAACCAGAGGCACCTTCAGAGTGCTCCAGTGATTAAGTTTACTGCCATCAACCAAGGTGTTTTTTAAGCCAAACACCTACTCCTGCCAGTTTTGCCTGCATGAGGTCTTCTAGGTTTAGCATGCTGGGTTTACAGTGAAAGTGTAATTCTGCAGCTAAAACTCCTAGTCCTGAGATCAGATCACCTTCACCTATCACAATAGTGATATTGTGAACTCCTAGGTCTATCTCTACCACACAAACCTAGCATGCAGGAATCTCATAAGGTGGAATTCTTCCTTGTCAAGATGGTAGTTGCTGAAACTATCTGTCAATACTGCAACACATACTTCTTAGTCTCCTTCACTTAGTTCTAACAACTGGTGACATCAGTACCACCATGATAACAGCAAACCTTTGAAATGGCTTTACCTTTCCTTGTTGAGTCACCCTGGTTGATGGCAGTCGTAGGCATTCTCAGATCTTACTGAGCAAAGTCCTCACTCCTTTCTGTTCCACACTTTGATGTTTACAGTCAAAACAAGCAGTGCATTCTTAAAGCAAATGCATCTTCCATTTGCTAGTAGGAGATGTCTGGCCCTCCTCAGTCTTAGCCACTTTATTGTCATTAAACCCTCCAGGCTCCTCTGAGTTCCCAATTAGTAGTGCCACTGTTGCACTCCCAGAAGTTGCTAGACCCTGAACGGTTTCACACATTAGGGCTTCAGGCTGCTTAGAAGTACATTTCAAGCTCCATTTTAGAGTCCTACTATGAAATTAAAGCTTTTGAAGGGCAAGGGGAACTGTACACCAGTATGAAGCTGCTTTACTGAACCCATAGAGAATTATTCCTTGCCATTCAAAGAAACATTTATGTTATTCTATTTAGATTTCTAAGGCAATTCAGTGTTAATCTAGTTAACCCTCAGTCAAATAGTTGAGTTAGATACTTGCATAAGAATTTGCTTTAGAAATTCCAAGAACTAGGCTTTGTTTTTTTGAGTATTTGAGGAAGGTTAATATTTCCACTCAGGAAAGGTACAAAGTAAGAGTGAATAGGAAAACTAATCAGTGGCAATGAAGAAGGAAAGCCAAGGGAATTTTTTACTTCCCTACTCCACTAACTTGCATAACTTAGGCTCCTCTTTGAGGAAAGGTAACAGAGCAGACATGGACAACAGTATTTGCTGTGAAGTCAATGCTGGCACTTCATTATTCTAAATTAGGGGAATTTCAACAGTCTCCAAGTTAAATCATGATTAAATGCAAAACAACCCCATTCAGCCTGGAAAGGATCTTTTAGATAAATCTGTTGAACCAAGGTGCTTAATTCAGTGGTTCTTTTTGAATGAGAATTTAGAGTAACCTCCTGCCTGATTTTTCAGTACAAAATACACAACTGTGCCTGAGACCATGAAGCAGTGAAGAGGCAGGACTGCCTCCCAGGCAGTTCTCTGCAGGTGTGGTACCTTATCTCAGGTGTGGTATGCAGGACAGGCACAGGGGAGATGATCTGCTGAGTAAGATCTGACACAGGAAGAAAGGTTAACGAGAACTATTAAAACTAAGACTCTTACAGACAGCTGGCTATTTTTCTACCTGTGATTCACATGCATGAAGGAAGTTCACCTGTACTGGTGCTCTACAAAAGGCATGACCTAGAAAGGGACAGCAAGGTCAGAATAAAAGACTACAGGAGGAAATTTGTATACTGGAAAATTAAAGTATGGCACTTTCCATATATCTAAGAATTAGCCTTTCCTGGATAAGATGGGTAAGTAATATTCCTTAACTAGAGATAAACATCAAGTAAAAATCTGGAATGCAGGATTCAAATCCCTCAAAGGACTCTGAACTTTATGGGCAATTTAAGCAGCTTCATACAAAATCTCAGTCCAGAAGCTGAAATGCTATCTAGGCTTGGAGGTATTTCAACTGTGTCAGACTAACTTTAGTTGCAGAGTTCGTAAGCTATAAATGTCTTGGTAATGTTAAGCTGCTCTGGTTGTTGTTTGCAGTTCAGTATCAGTTCCTCTAATTGAGAAGGCTTAAGTCCCCTTACGGGTTTGATTCAGAGCCCATATAGTCTGATCAAATTCACTGCAAAAGTGCTGCTTCCCCCACTATTACAGTCAGAGGAGCAGCAGAGCCAAAGATCCATCACACACCCCTTGGTGGGATGTGCCTTGTGGCCGAGAGTACCCCCAGCAAAGCAGAGGCAGGTTCAACGCATCCTTGGGGAGGTTCCCAAACTCTAACATCCCAGTAGTGTCATGACTACCAATGGGAACTCATTCTCTCTCCTAACAGTAGCAGTGCTACTGTGTAAGAAAGGGTGGGGGGAAGCAAAAAAATTTTCTAGGCAAAAAGAAAGATGATAAAGTCTGTGGACAAAGATCAGAAGTATCAGATGGAATTGGAAGCTCTACTTCCCTTTGACAACTGAAGAAGTGTTCACAGCTCTGAGTTAGACATCTAATGCTAGAGACATTCAAGATTTCCAATGTGTCTGCATGCACTGTGTTACCTAGTGATATCCTGATATCAGTAATATCCTGATCCACCTATTGAACTGTTTTGGACTTCATTCTCATGCACCTCTTTGATCCCTACGTGAGGAGCCCAGTTATGCAAGAGTTTTCTGTTTCATTCCAGGGACCTAAAAATAAAGTATTGCAACACTTGGCTTGTTCAGCAAGACTAGTTTTCCTGACAGATCTGTAGCAGGTCTAAAAAGAGGACCAAAACAAGTTTAGGGATGCCTAAGTGAATTGTAATTACAACAGTAATTTCTGATCTCAGAGCAAGAAAGAGCAAAATAAAGGCTGCCCCTTTACTTGATGTTTTATTACAATATCTGGAACTCAAAGATGCACTACTATCTGTAAAACTCTAGTCAAAAAAAAAACAAAAAACAACCAAACAACCCAAGCTTGGAAAGTAAGACATGTAAAGTATTAAAAAGGTAACATATTTCACCTGCCAGTTTGCTTCTGTCTTCCCCTGCAACCACAACAATCCAGTCCCTCTGAATTGTGATTGCTGTGGCAGTGCTGGCCAAATTGGCAATATTTGCTATTGTGATAACCAGGATATAGCACATCGTCTAGAGAGGGGGGGAAAGAGTTACAACATGAGAAAATTCATGAAGAGAAATCTCCACCTCCTGCACAAGCAGAAAAGGCTTTTACATTTGAATCCACACATTTTAGCATTATTATTCACACAGAACAAGATCAAGCCCACTTTACAATTCCTGGCACAAAACAATCATCTCTGTTTATCCAACAAGCTCAATTTCATTTGCCGGTTTTAGCTCCCAGGAATGTCTAAACAGACTAGAGAAAAGAAAAAAAAAAAATCCATCCATCTCCCACACTCCCCAAAGTTTCTTTGTAAATTAATTTCTTATTAAGAAGTTCAAGCACTCACAAGAAGCCATCCGTGGTATAACGTCAAGAGCTGTGTCTTAAACAAGAAGATAATCATCAGGATAATACCACACAGGATGACAGATGCATTCTGTACGATCAAGGATGTCTGGGCCACTGTTTTAAATCAAAACAGAAAACAATAGTTATGAAATAAGAATGAGCTAACTATAACCTTAGGGAGGACATAATTAAGGAACATGCACAGTTTCCTTAAATAATTTTATTTTTCTAGTCTACTCCAAAATATAAGCAACAAGTCTATTTCATATCGCATTTTAATCTTCCATTGTCTTAGAGAAACAAATTAATGTCTGATATAACTTTGTAGCTCTTGATTCACAGTCCAAGTAGGTCTTTTCCAAAAAAAGTCTGTTTAAATGCTGATACTATCATTCCAGTAGTAAAAGCCTAGCTCAAACCTCTAAAACTGATCTGCAACCTATCCTGGATGGAATGCTATTTTGTAAACTTTTGGAAAGTAAAAAATCATGTGAAGAACTTGATGCCATTTTATTTATATAACAGGCTAGAGCATGCATATTTAAAATACATATAATGCAAATGCAGCATGTGTGTACACTGAAGTGAAAGGTGTTTGTATCATGACAGATGACAACAAATAATGCAAGTGTATGTTAGTGTTAAACTGTAAAGAGCCTGGTCTTTAAAAGTAGTGGGTTTAATCTTCTGTATTTCCATGCACCTCTCCATATCACACAGGTTTAGCCTGAGTAATAATCACCACTTAAACTGTTTTCCTCCTATCTTAGCAGCTTTGTGTAACCATCACCACTCTGAAACTCCACTCCACCCTTCTTGTAAAGAAATTAGCAAACATGATTCTCGTATGTGACTTGAGGAATTAACTCAATCAGCTTTATCTTTAACATTAATTTGATCCATCCTTAAGTAAATAACCTGCTCTAGACAACTAACCTTTGAGCCTCGAGTTCTTGTCCACCCAGTCTCCAATAAGGGCTCCCAGGAGAAGAACAGATCCCGCCACAACCAGTCCATAGACCGCAGTCAGGAGTAAGCTGTTTCCATACAGTTCAACCAGGAACACGGACACAGCAAAATGCCACATACGATCCCCCTGCAGAGAACACACATTTGCAGCATTACTGTTTGCACTCTGCAAGCACACAGGTTCACTGTTTTGCTAATGCCCTGGTAAAAAGTCTGCACTAAAATAAAAGTTTGTTACGCATGCAAGGGTGGGGTGGGGGTAGTTGTTTTTGTTTTGGGATTTTTTTATTACTGTATCCTGTCACCACTGATTTTATCCCAGTATCACTAAGATCATCTGTCCTAATCAGGTGACTCATTACAGCTTGTAACACCACATCCAAAAATCCCAGATATTTTCTATCATAGTATGACAGGACCAAATCTATTACCAGCCACATCCAATAAGCCTCATAAAGCTTACACAAGTTTTCCTGCACAGATCATATATTAATAACACATTTACTGATTACTGGTATTATTTAAATAACCTTAAGACAACAATTTGCTCTTAGATGATCAAAGCTTAAGTGCTGCTTTAAAACTCAAGAGTGAGTCAAGTGAAAGCAAGTCATCATACAATTCAGGACAGACATGGATAAATGTTAACTGAAGTTTAAGTCAATGAACTTTAGGATTCTCATGTTCAGCATTGGCATATCACTCAGAGGTAGAACAGAGCTCATTTAACCTATATTGTAAACTCATTGCTAGTTCAGCCTCTTTAACTTATTGCTACTTTAACCTAGTCCTTAGAATACATTTTCATGCTCTGATATCACTTGCTACAGGTACAAAAATGGACCCCAAATTGCTAAACATGTTCAAGTGAAGTAATTTCCATACCATTCAAAACATTTTCAGGTTTGTTAATGAATACATGGGGTTTTTCTGCTGTCACATGATGAAAGTCACATCTCACTTTATTTTTAGCAGAAAATGCTTTATGTAATCAGTAACAGAGCAGATGAATAGAAATCATTCATACTATTCTAGGGCACACAGGTTGTTTAATAAGGGTCCCCTTAACATTAGCCTTTTACAAACCAAACACAAAACTGTTTTCTTCTGCTGCCTTATCTTAAATAAACAATTGATAGGTGATACAGCAAATAGTACAAATTTCTAAGGAGCTCAAATATTCTCAAGGGCTGGGGGAGGTGTAAAATAAAAGTATTTTTGAAAAGCAAAGCCTGCCAAATCTAACTTATCATGTACGACAGCAATCAAGACACACATAAAAAGCATGCTATTTGGAGAGTCAAAGTAACTGCATTTTGATTACAGTCTTCAATATAATATGTACAGACACAAAACCCCTTTTAATGTTATTCAAGCTCCCTGAAGTAGGTTTCTGTAAACATTGTAATGTATAAACCTTCATATTTGTTTCCTTAACCATAGGCAGAAAAAAAATTATACTGCAATCAGTTGGAAAGAAAAATTTCACCTGTTCAAAGAAAAACTGGGTATTTTGTATGTTTTTAACTAAATCCAATGAAAAATGTTACTATAGGCATGATCATCTTTTATGCCCCCTTACACATATAATAAACCATTTTTCAGTCAAGATACACCTAAAATCATCATTAAATAAGTTCCACTTATATTCCACGGTTAGTTAGTAGAAATATATAGAAAACATCCCAGCAATGAATACACAGGGATATAATTTCCCAAGTCAATCATTCACTTAATCTAACCTCTAACCTGAGGTGGTACTTTATAGAATTTCACTTAAAATATATGCAAGTGGACGAAATAGATTTTGATTAGCCTGTATAACTATTTATTAAGCTAGAAAAGTGAGCCAAAAATGTATTTTCACAAGAATATTTCACCACAAAAGTTTAGGTTTTTCTTCACAGAGAGATATTTCAGTTACCTAATTCTGAGAAGACGAAAAAGGCATTTTTAAAAAAATCTAAGCACGTGAAAGTCAGTGCCAGCCACTACTGTCAGACTGAGAAATTGAATCTCAGTTGAAACTCACGGGAAGGTTCTTTTGACTCCAGTGAAATCAGGATTTTTACGTATAGTTCATTTAAACACTGCTCAACCTTATCCAATGCATTTATGCAGAGTATTTTAATCAAGCCAATCCACAGAGATCATCCTTGGGGTAACCAAAGCTGTTCCAGCCTGGAAGCACGAGTTTCTTTCAAGACTTAAAAGCCATAAAGAGTAAGCAATGATCAATGAGTGTCATAAAAGAACAATATTAGTGAATTACAGAGGTTTGAAGTAGGTACATAATTTCAAACTAGGCTCTACTGAAACTTAAACAGCAAATATTGTCCTTGGAATCAGGTAAATCCTTGATTATATATACTTAATCCCACTTCAAAATGCGGGCATTTCAAAAAAAATAGGTAGAGAGCCATTGAGCCTCACTACCCTTTTAAAGACAGCTCTTCCTCTTCTGTAATTATAATTATCCTTATAATCATCTCAAACTGAATGTATACAATCCCACCTCAGAACTGAAGCCAAGTTAATCAGGAGCCAGGCTACTACCTACTGACAGGCCTCCTGAGGTCTGAGGGGCACAGATAAGGCTGGGAAGTTGCAACCAGCTGAGCTCCTGGGAAGCATTAGGCCTGGCAACAATGAGGTAAACCCAGCTCCATCCTGTTCCCTCTTTACTACCGAGGGATTGACAGCAGTGGATTAAACACAATAAGGTCTGAGACTCCAGCTCAGCAGAGCTCACATCCCTGAGGCCAAGCACAATTGAAATGCTTTACTCAGCCAGAGCCCGACGGAGTCTAGACTTTGTTCAAGTCTGGACATTTGTTGAGATGTTACATGTTTAATCATTTACAGCCTTTTTTTTAATATATGGGAATGGTATAGTAACACAGAAACCTAATTAGCTCACTCACATTAAAACTCCATTTCTTTCAGGTTTTGTACTGTGGGCAGAGCCATTCTAGAACAGAGATGATCTATTACTTGGAGTTCTGGAGTTTAGGTATTTGTTTATTGTTCCTATTACCAAAAACCTCCAGAGTACAGGAACAGTAAAGCTTAGAAGATACAAAATAAGATGTATTTCTGTTATTTCAGCAGGTTGTTTCAGCAGGCTTGGCCAGGGGGTTTTGAGTCAAGATTTTCAGCACAAAACCTACCAGAACCTTACCAGGAGTACACTGTTAATACTGCTAAACAGCTGAATAGATATCTTGCAGTCTAATGTTTGTTATGGTGTGCAACATTTTTCTCAAACTCTGCTTTGTCACCTTTACTCCTGTACTCTGAGAGCAATGCTCCTGCCAAGATTCGAAGCACTCGTCAGAGGAGCAAGCAGGGTTGGTGGGCATGGCTGACAAAAACTGTTGCAGGTAACAACCCTGACCTCTAAAAAGCAGCGAACCAAAACAGGCACCTCACCACTCAGTTCCTTCAATAATATTAGTAACTGCCAAAATACTGCACTTGTTTAAACATGCGTTTGATACCACTCAAAGTCTTCTTCCACCAACAGAAATGTCAATATGACCTTTCAGGTTAGTGAAAGGAAGATGCTGCCAGAGTCAGGCAGGCAGTGTTGTAACTGTAGATCAGCCATTTGCTCAATGCACACACCAAAAAAACCCAAAAGCAGGACTAAAAGACAAAGCAAGGAATATTAGGAAAGAATTTTTCACTTCTTTTGTAATCAAGCCATTATATGGAGACTTAATACTCTTAATCTTACTATATAGAATAGAACCAGATTGTCTATTTTCAGTACATATTTTAAGGTGGTGCTTGTGTTTTTTTTCATATCCTTCAACTTAATAAAAGCTGGTGTAATGAGTTACTTAAGTGTAGAAGGAAAGCATTTCAGAAGACAAATGTTTTTAAAGAAAAAGAGAAACCTCCTGGTGGTACCATCAAGTTTCCTAAGGAGAAGAAGTAATGGGTCCATTGTAAACATTGAGTATTTCCCATTAGTTAATATACAAGTCCTTCAGATACATGCTGCAATGGACTGTCTCTCTGCTCCTCTGTAAGGAGTCTCACTGGTTCTGCAGTTATTTAAAAGTATTAAAAGGTGCAGAACCAGACCCTCCAGAAAGTGAGTACTGCACTATACCTGAACCTACTGCAACATATCATGTAAACATTAGGAGACTTTTAACAGCGAGGTGTTGTAACTAGACCTCTGTCTTTGTATGATGTGCTAGCTGAAGATTTTTTGGAAAGTATTTGGGTAAGTCACAGCTAGATTAATAAAATCCTACTTCTACCAGGTCAATATTTTACTTACCCAAGTGGACAGTGCATGCCCAAGATAAAGAAGAAACTTTGCAGACGTAAAATAGGGAACCACAGATCCTAAACGAGAAACAAGAAACAGATGCTAAAGGAGATGCGGGCACATCCACCGCACTTCGGCACGCACCGGGCACACCTCGGTGCAGGGGGGGGGACCCGACACGGTGCTCGGAGCGGAGCCGCCACGGGGACACGGCGCGGCCCGGAGCACCCCCCCCCGCCGTGCCCGGGACCCGAGGGGCCGCACTGACCGCCGCGCCGCCCGCCCTGCGGCTCCGCTGCCCGCGCCATGCCTGCCCGCTCCGCCGCTGCCGACAGCAAGGGGGGACGCGCGGCTCTCTTCGTGTTGCCTTCCCCGACTTAGCCAGCACTGTAGCTGAAGTCGGAAAGCCTTGGCCTTATGCGGCGCGGGCGGAGGGGCACGCTCCGCCACGGAGGGGCCGAGCGCCGCTCGACGCCCGGCTCGAAGCTCTCGGCTACCAGAGCGGAGGAGCGAAAGCTATGGGATAGATCCTCCCCGCGCACCGCCCTTTGTAGCGGCGGCGGCCCCGCCCCCGCCCGGCCCCTCCCGGGGGCGGCCCCGGCCCGGCCGCCGTGCCCGGGCAGCGGGAGAGAGCGGGAGCGGAGCTCCGCGAGCACTGGCAGGCAGGCAGGGGCTTTGCGGCCCCGCTCACGGCGGGGGGAGCGCTGCGGCCACCAGCGGCGCTCAGACAGCGGCACAGCGCCCAGAGCATTTCTGCTGTGCGCCGGGCCCCTGAGCCCTGCCCCTGACTGGGCTCTCGGCTGCTGCCGTGTTGTTTACTGCGTTTCAAACACCGTGACATTCCCCAATAGGCAGTTACGCCAAGAAGCTGGGGTTGTAAGGGAAGCGCAAAGTATCACAAGCCAGAGGTTGAAACACCTGCAAATGACAGTGATCGCCCCCAATTCAGAGCTGTCAAGAAAAAAAAAAAAAAGACCTAAGCAAAGTACCAACATTTAAGCTGTTTAACTGAAATAATCTTCTGTTCTAATGAAGATGGTGCAGAATTCACTCCTTTGATGCGGCTCAGGGATCATAAATGCCCACCATAAATACTTGTTTTGCACACTATGTGACCTACTCTTGGTACAGACCACCACCACCAAAAACTGCATTTTTATGAAACTTAAAAACCAGTCAAAACGTACAATAAGCTTCCCCCCCCCCCCCCAGGATACTACAAAAATATTTAAGAAGTATCCTTTCTTGTGTGGTTGAAACATAATGATTGTTCTTGGCTGCCAGATGATTTTTCATTGTGTAATACAGCAAAGTTGCCTCCTATATGGGTAAAATTGCTTTTGTTTTGGGTTGGTTTTTTGGTCTTTATCTGTTTCATTTTGGGATTTTTTTCCCCCCAAGTATATAGGCCATCCCAGAAACAAATGCCTGACTCAACAGACCAATAATCTGTTCTGGTGTTGCCATTCCTGTGATCTTGTTCAAAGTATTTTTTGCATCAATTAGATGACTTTCTATGCATGAATCATGGATTATCCTTTGCATAAAGGATATGCAAAATAGACCTTGGGGGAAAAAAAATCAGAAATTAAAATTCATATAAAGAGGAAGGCTAAAATTGCTGTTTCAATGGGTTTGGTTATCCTAGGTGAGTTAAGTGTTTTTTCTTATGGTATGTTCCTTAAAAAAATGCAGAAAAGTTTTCCTCAGATTGACATTAAAAGCAGAGGAAATTTTCTTGATGGCTTGTCCTACAAGCCTTACTGCTTAAACTGTATTCTTCTTTACTAGCAGCTAAAAAGAAAATTATTTTTCCTAAAACATACCATTTTAAATATTATTAGCCCATATTAAATAAAAAAAAGACTGTGTATCAAAATCAAGTGATATTTAGTTGGTTTTAAGTCTTTTTAGTGTCAGTGTTTGCACTTTTACTGACAATTGCAGTGTAATCAAGTAGATGCACTTGAATTACTCGGGTCTAACGCCGGATTGTTACTCTCATGTCAGCAGTAAGGCAGCACAGAGTCTGGAGGAGCACTGGGAGACAGGTGCCGGCCGTGGTCCACACAGACCAACACACTTGACTTGCATCTTTTCCACCCCTGTCCGTGGTGGCACTTGTGGCCACTGTACGGTTTGATTACTGGACTAGATGGATGTGGGGTCTGATCTGGTCTGTCAGGTACCATTCCTAATACAGCAGCACCACGGGATCCTACAGAGATTCACTGTCAACCCATGAACACTAGGAACACTGCCCAGGACAGTATTGCTGGTTAGATCCTATTTTTATTAATAGAGAACAATGTGGATGAATTAGAGTTGAAATAATAATTTCTGATTGAATGCTCACTGAACTTTATACATGTGCATTTGGTTATGTAGATGAAATCATCATCTCTTGTCATTTTTTCTACTGGGTAATGATTTTTTATTTGGTGATATTTAAGGTATGAGAAAAGGCAAAGAAAACAAAGCTACCATCCTTTGAAATTTAAAAAGCAGTGGTTGCCATATCTCTCTGGGATTTCTTGTCACAGGTGTCTCAGAGTCACTGCACACATGATATGGGGTACCTGCTACCTGTAGGTACCATCCAGAATTTCTTATATCCAAAGCCATATATATTATACCTTTTTCTAACAATTTCTCTGCCAAATGTCCAGAGGTTCTATACATAGAGCTAAAAGGCCATTTTGGATTTATGAAGCGTTTGTCTCCTTCTTAAAGCAGGGGAGTTGGCAGGTAGGGAAAATCCATACTTTTTCTCCTGAATTTGCCACCACTTTGCTGATGATCTTTCCCCACATGCTTATTAAAATAAGGGTGAGCTCAGGTCTCTTTCCCTGTCAAACAGGGCATAACAGAACATTTTTTACAATACCGATGTTAAACCCAATACAATAGCTTGAGCACTTTGATTTTCACACCTGAAAAAGTTGCTGCTAAAAAAGTCCCAAATATTCTTATTAATACTCCACTAAATCAAAATTTTATTAGATTGCTTTGTGAAGCCCTTGTGAATATTTTTTAAGATGCAGCTCTTTTTTCAGGTTGACTGGCTCACCGGAGTCCTTTCACCACAACACTTGAAGACTTCTGATGCATTTAGGGAGGTGCTTAATAGCTGGAAGTTGTACGAGAGGAGTTACCAGTTTTACCTGGTATAGCCCTGACTCAGCATTCTTGCAACAACATTATACCTATTGGGACAGCATAGCAGCTACAGATTTGAGACCAGGCCTGACTAATGGTCACTGGCAGAGTGGAAATGGAGACCAAAAAGTGGGATTGGAATTAAAAAGACATATATTTATGTTACAGTCTTTCTAGCCTAAATTTTTCAGTGGATAAATTCCATAAGCTTTCTTAGAAATATACTGCTAATGTCATCTCTCTAGTTAACATTTGAGTAAAGAAAATAACTACTGAATTAGGTTTGAGAAGTGTTAAGTTTATGATTAAAATATAAAAAATAATTTCATTCAAAAAACAGAGACATTCCTCAAAATATTTAAAAAATGAGACAGCTGTCTAGAACCAAAAAAAGTTATAGTATATTCAATTTGTCTAGCAACAAGGGCAACAATTCAACTGTAAGATGTAAACAACTGAAAATGTTTTAATTATTGGTAAGGGTATAACTATGATGTGAAGCATATTCGAAGATACGCTTCCAGGAAAGAAATGTCTTAAAACGTAAGAGAGGATATATTTTGGCTTTAAACAACTGCCCACATCAGTGGCAGCTTCTTTAAGCACTGTCCTTGTAATAGAGCTACTGAATGTAGAGCAATAGCAATTTTACAAAATAATACCCACAATTGTCATCATGGTTTAAGTAAAGAGGTGTGAATCATAGTGAGACCTCATGCACGCTCAGATCTTACACCCAGCTGAGAGGTTTCATGAAGTTTAATTATCATGATGTTACCACTCTTCATTAAGATGCACCTCTTGGTGTGCAAAGTGGTTTTTTACTCATGTAGCTCACACAAGGCCTAGCAAAACTGGAAAGGATATATATAATCTGTGCCTTTTGAAGGGTGAAGCACAAAAGCCTTTGCTTCACTGACCCCTGCCATGACTTAGGCACAGAAAGCTGTGGCTCTGTTGCTCATAACCCCACATGTTCAACTCTCAGAACTACCATCCCCGTATCAGACGACACTCAGAGGTTGCAATGCTCTTGCAGAGAGAAACAGGCAGATATGAGATGGAGAAAGGTCTCCCAGATTTTTCTGGATTCTTGCTTCCTTTCAAAAGAGATGCTTTTTACTCCAAAACTGTTCATTTCACTTACATGTTAGTAATTTGAATATCTATATCTACTAATGATCATTAAGCAAATGTCTACTCCCTCCCACTCGCTCCAAGATGCACAGTGTAATGCTCCTATTGGATTTGTTTTGCTCAGACTTCAAAGCAACAGCTTCTGTCTCTCAGGGCTAGATGACAGACCACAGTCATTTTAACATGTAACAGTCATTTTCGGGACCAGAGCCAGACTCCTGTGACAAACTCTTGTGAGAAAACCACCCAGAAGCTCTAGCAAATCCAGAACTGAGAGGTTTATTTGGAGAGGGGAAAATTACCTAGCTTATACACAACTCCAGCTCAGGGGGCTGACCCAGCTCTATGCTCACATGCTCAAGCTAAGGTGTTTGTAACTGATGAGCAACAGCCTAACTACTGAACAACTGCTTAAAATCATGTGTTTGGTGTGACAACTTGATGCAAGAAGGGAATACTTTTGTCCAATCTTCCTCAGTCATAAGAAAACACTGTACCCTAAACACAAATAAGGAAAACATCCTGTACCAAATGAGAAAAAAGTAATTAAAAGAAGACACCCCATCTACTTAGGGATAAGTGGATGTTTGCACCCAAATATCAGGAGTAACATTTCTGCAAACCCCCTATATCATATGACACTTTTATTCTCCAGGGCAGGAATTATTTACTTGAACTGGAACACTGTGCTGAGGAAGAGACTGAAATTAGTCTGGAGGGCCAGATAACAGCCTATCTGCAATTTGAGCTCATTTGGTTTGTTTTCTTCATTAGAACTTACTGCAGTTTGACTTCTACCAGGTGTCATTGTTCTGCTACTAAAGAATACAACAGTGGTTAATAAACAGTATTTTGTTTCCTGTGTGTATTTTAGTAAACAGTATGAAAGCACTGGGATTTGTCACTTTCCCCACAGCCATCTAATACCTATGAGTTTTGTCTTTATTCCTTAATTCATTGTCCAGGAATTTTGGTACATGCAATTAAATCAAATGTGAAAGCAAGTCAGACGGTATTTGTATCCCTTAAAGAAGAAACCCTCTTATAAGTAGAACACATTCTTCTCTTGAACAACTTCTGTCGGAGATTATGGCTGACCTCTCTAAGACAGATTTTGACATCCCTGTTCACCTTTCTGCAATGTTTTTATTCTGATTCTATGCCAAGAAAATACTTAAACCCACATTTTTTACTTCAGGCACATGTTTA